ATGTGAACTAGCAACTTTTCAAACATTAATTTTAAGTAAGATACTAGTTTATTTAATAGATCTAATAGGGATCTTACTAATTGGGATCTTACTGATCCCAAACTGAAAGTTTGGGATCAGTAAGATTTTTAAATAAATTAATATTTAATATTAGTTATGTAGTGAAAGTACATGATTAAAACTGACAGTAAAGGTGTGACCGGTGTAATCTGCCTCTCCCGGGTCCTCACCGCCACACCTCGTTCTCGCTCCGAGTGGGTCTCCGGACGCACTAACAAGGAGGCTAAAGACTGCAGCCTCTAGCGCATCTCTTTAGATCAGGGGAGTGAGGTTTACCTGCACAGCACTTATTCGCTGGCCTCCGTTACACTCACCACCCCCCTAAACCTCACTACCATCCGGGTCACGGCACCACGTGTGACCGGTGTAATCTGCCTCTCCCGGGTCCTCACCGCCACACCTCGTTCTCACTCCGAGTGGGTCTCGAACCCGGGTCTCCGGCATGGGAGGCGGACGCACTAACAAGGAGGCTAAAGACTGCAGCCTTTAGCGTCAGTCGCTAGTCTCTCTAGTCTCTTGGCCTCCGTTACAAAGGCATTTACAAATGATCTCTATTTCAAATAAATATTGTTCTATTTGTTTTGATTATTCAATAAACCTGAAAAAAAAAACTGAAACCTGAAAAAAAATGGCTTGCACAAAAATATTTAGCACAGCTGTTTTAACTTTTTTTGGAGCAGAAAATCATATTTGATGTGATTTCTGTATATTAGAATGATTTCTGATGGATCATGTGACACTGAATACAGTAGAAATGGCTGCTAAAAGAAATCATCATTTAAATTCAGGAATAAATTACATTTTAAAATATATTCAAATTAAAAACAGATACTTTAAATTGTAATAATATTTCACAATATTAGACTTGTTTCAAAAACAAAAAAAATATCCTATTCATGGAAAGTTTATTTTTTCATCATTAATAATAATAATATAACACCGTGCCGTACTTCATCAAAAATAGTATGTGCTTTGTTAATTTTGGTGTTTTATTTTGTGAAAATAAGTTATATATAATTTTTTGTGTGTGGTCATTTTCATTTAAGGTTATTATCTTTCACATTCATTGTGAAAATGTCCACAAGTAAACAGAGCACTCAGAAAATATGTTTATGGCATCATCTAAACCTCATTAAATGGATTTATCTGTTTTATGAGACATTGTATTTTAGATATCAATTATGATACAAATTACATATGAAACAACTACAGTATGTCAAAATGTATTTCTCAGTAATTCAAAGTGCTATGAATGTATCTAGAAACTTGTGACTAGGTATTTTTCAGGGAATGGCTGTGCGCTGCGACACTGCAGTGTTTGTTTCTCACACATCAGCAGTGCAAGCAGTCTCAAAAGAAGTTTCTTCTCCTGGGACGAGCTCCACAGGGCCCTCGGACTTGGGCTCCTCCCTCTCCTCTGAGCGATCCCTCCTGCTTTGAGCTCTCCTTCCCTCTCGTCGCCCTCCTCCTCAGCGGGATGCATACTGATGGGCAGACCTGTGTTTTCGCACCCCATGGCCTCATTCTTATCAAAGTCACGGAAATTGTTCCTTGCGCCCATGATGTATTTGCCCAGGATGCTGGCCTGGTCCGGCTCGCTTTTGGGCCGCCACTGCAGCTTCTGGTGAAACTCCTGCATCTCGGAGTGCAGTCGGCCGACAACTTTATTCAGCTCAGTGATTCTGTTCCCAACATCTGAACATCACAACAGCAGCAGTTAGTAGCGAAAACAATGGCAATGTTCAGAACAGCATACTATCACACAAGTGTCACTATTATGGCTTTTTTAATAACTGAAATACTGCATGCTTTTTGGATCATTACTTGATGCCCAAAAGATGACCTACCTTTATGCTTGCTCTCTTCAAACTCTCTGCATGCGGCTTCGATGTAGCGGTGCACTAGAGCTTTGGTCACCTGCAGGCGGTATGGCACTCTGCCCTCACCTTGACCTCCGCTGCTATTCAGAGTATTGCTAGACTAAAAAAATATGAAAAACACCTCCTCAGCCAAATTTAAGAATCATGGAGGATCTAGAGATAGAAATCCCTCAGATACTCACCAAAGATGCGATGGGAGGATACTCTGGGGCTTTCTTGTTACAGCAACAGCAAATCTTTTGGCAGATGCTTCTACACAAAACAGGGAGGAACAGGAAGGTTACATCTGGTCATAAATGATCGTCAGTTCACATAGTCTGCATAAGAGGTAGCTCCTAGCATTGCTTGTCAGGTTATCTTACCTCAAGGTATAGAAGAGAGCCTTTGGAGATGGGATGATATTAAAGGGAACTGGCATAGTGAGACCCTCCCTGAAGTAACTGAGGTAGAGCTTAGAACGAGCAAACTTCCACTCGACATCTGCGTCATCCTGAGAGGAAGAGACAGCATGAACATAAGTAATGTGTTTAAAAATGTAATGTTTTTGAAAGTAGTGGCTTATGCTCATGGAGGCTGCATTTATTTGACCAAAACACAGTAAAACAATAATATTGTGAAATATTATTACAATTTAAAATAATAGTCTTCTGTTTGAATGTAATTTAAAATGTAATTTATTTCTGAAATGCAAAGCTGAATTTTCAGCATCATTACTCCAGTCTTCAGTGTCACATGATCCTTCAGAAATCACTCTACAATGCTGAATTGCTGCTCAAGAAACATTTCTTATTATTATCAATGTTGAACAGTTGTGCTGCTTAATGTTGCGTGATACTTTTTTTCAGTGATTAAAAAGTTCAAAAGAACAGCATTTATTTAAAACAGAAATATTTTATAACATTATAAACGTCTTTAAAGTGTGTTACCTCAACCAGGGTTATTATAGTTAACTAAAATTATAAAAAAGTTAAATAAAATAAACATTAACTGAAATTCAATTCAATTAAATATAAAACTAACTTAAACATTTTATTACATATAGTTGCCAAGGCAACAATACTTATTCTTACATATTTTAACTTGATGTACTAAAACTAAAACTGAAATAAAAAATGAATAAAAACTAGGTAGACATATTAAAAAAAAAGTAATAAATCAATAAATAAAAAAATAACAAAACCTCAACAAAATTACTAAAACTTATACTATATAAATAATAACTATTAAAGTAAATGATAATGAAATCGAAATCAATATCTCAATGATACTAAAATAAGAGACCTGAACGCCACTGGGTAGTTTAACCAGACATAGCATTTTAGTGTTTTTTTTTTTTTTATTTTTTTTTTACTATTTTAATTTTATTTCATTTAAATTACCTAATTATTTTTGTTTTATTTAATTTAAATTACCTATTTTTTTTTTTTTTTAAGATTTGGCTTGGTATATCAAATTAAAATGAAAAATATAATTGTATCTCAGTGATACTAATATAACACTGACCTGAACTCCACTGTTTATAAAGTTTTAAATATGGATATTTTTCTTACAGAAAACACATTGATTTGCTTCAGGAAGCCTTTATTCACCCCGCGGAGCCGTGTGGGACACTTTTATGATGGATGGATGCGCTTTGTTGGACTTCTGTTGGACTATTGATACATAACACCCATTCACTGCCATTATAAAGCTTGGAAGAGACAGGACTTTTTTTTAATGTAACTCTGATTGTATTTGTCTGAAAGAAGAAAGTCATACACACCTAGGATGGCTTGATGGTGAGAAATTTATGGGCTATTTTAAAATTTTGGGTGAATTATCTCTTTAAGTATTTTCCTCTCAAATAAAATAAAATAAATTAAACTAGTCAGTGGAATTTTGGTATCATTGAGGTACTATTATAGTTTTTAACTGATGTTTTGAACTAGTATTTATATTGTTTTCATTTTAAGTTTTATTATCATTAACTGAAAAAAAATAAAATAATTATATCGAAATCCTCCGAAAATTTTCTTTACAAATCCTCGTTTTGTACTTCTAATTCGTTACCGGTGTTTTGTTTTGCTCTCTCATCTGTGCTTCTGTATTAGACACTTCTCACCGGAGCTCACACCTACGTCATACGTCGGAACGCGGAAGCTAGAGATTACTGTTTATAAAGTTTTGAATATGGATATTGTTCTTACAAAAATGCATAGTTTCGCTTCACGAGGCCTTTATTCATCCCCGGATCCGTGTGGAGCACTTTTTATGATGGATGGATGCACTTTATTGGACTTCAGTTCTATTGGACTATTGAATGTCACCCATTCACTGCCATTACAAAGCTTGGAAGAGCTAGGACATTTTTTAATATAAATCCGATTGTATTCGTCTGAAAGAAGAAAGTCATATGTACCTAGGACGCTTTGAGGGTGAGTAAATCATGGGTTAATTTTCATTTTTGGGTGAACTATGCCTTAAATATTGATACTGAAATTGATTTATTTTTATTTTTTCTGTTTTTGAGGAAAATACTTAATATAGATAGTGACATTGTTTTATCACATTTATCAGTTGCTGCAATTAAACCAACATGATGTACCTGTTTTTGATTGTAGTTGACCGCCAATCGAAGACGAGCAAGGTTGGGGATACCTTCCTCAAATGTCTGTTCATTAAGTTCTTCATCCTCGCTGTCATCGTCAGCACTGTTGAGGATGGTGGAGACCTCGCTCTGGTTCCGGCACATTCCCAGCAGCTCCACTGCGAACTCCTGACACAGCTGTTCCAACTCCAGGTACTGAGGCTAAACATCAAGAAAGTGATGATACAAATCAATTATTAAATGTGTTTACATATAAAACCAAATGCTGATAACTATGAAGATAGTGTATTAAGTATACTGACAATACAAAGAAAAAGTAAAAACACTCAGTTATGGGTAGCATATTGTCAGTGCTGGTTATATATATATATACGTATACATATATAATGTATGTATACATAAAGAAAGAGAAAATATTCCAACCATTATCATGAAATTGCCATTGTGTGAACAATATGTAGTCATGTAATCCATAAAAAGTATAAAGTACTTACATTTTTTGGAATCTGATTACGTAATCCAGATTACATGTAATTTGTTACTACCCAGCACTGCATATTCTTAATAGTTAATGGAAAAACAGACTATTGACTCGAACACATCTTTTTTTCCAAAGAATTTGTTGCTATTTGTGATGTTTTCTATAAATGAATGAATTTTTCGGAGCTCACCTTGAATTCTGGTTCTTTCTTATGGCGCTTTTCCACTGCGTGGTGAACCGTACCGAGCCGTACCGTGCCGTACCATGCAGTGGAAAAGAATCGTCAATGGAGTGGTCGAAAATGGCCATGCTGAAAGAACGAACGTCCATCTTGTTGCCTTTCTCCTGATCCAGGCGGTCCAGGAGATGTTTGACGAATCTGGGCTGGTTGGTGTCGACGGCCACCAGCAGAGCCTCGTAGATCTGACGGAAGTCAAACTTGACACCCAGCAGAAGGGAGGTCATGATGTCTTCACTGCCCAGTCGAATGGAGAGGTTCAATGCTTCCCTCCATAACCGATCCTCAGACTCGTCCAGCTGACGGATGATCCCATCACCAAGGGAGAGGAGACTGTCCACCGAGGCTGTGTTGCCCTCTTGGATGGCGGGGATCAGCTCCGGTGGAAAGTGAAGCTTTTTGTTCACAATCTCACTCCAGTTGTCTGGCTGCTCACAGAGACGGGACACAGAAGAAATTAAAATCACCCACCAAACTATCATTCGAGGGTGAAATAACCTCAAGAAGCAAACCAGATAAAATTCTGGTCCAGTACTGGATATTTACATTTATTTCTCCTATACTGTTCAAAAGTTTGGGGTCAGAAATTCAGAATATATATTATATATACAGTACATACAAATATATAATTTTTGGGAAGAAATTAATACTTTTATTCAGAAAGAATGCATTAAAATTGATTGAAAGTTTACACAAAAATGGTTGCACAACTAAATTCACCGGTTGGATAATAAAATTTCTAAAACGGACAGTTCCAACTCTAACTTTCTTATTAGCTGAGCTTTTTTTAAAGTCGCATTCTATTAATGTGTCAAGCTGCTATGTTGGTTGGCAACCATAAACTTAAATATATCTTTTACCATACTGCTGCGGTTTTATAACAGCAATAACCCACTCAATTCCATCAGTTACTGTGATTTTTACCACAGGTAGTGGCCTTTTAGACTCTCTGCTTTGCGTTGTGCCTAAAAAAACCCAGTTCTTTTGAAGCTTATTGCATTTAATGCCTTGCTTTCAAAATCAAAAAATCTGAAACTCACAGTAAGGTTTTCCATGTTCTTAGTGCAGCACCCCAAATCAGTAAACTTCTTTTGAGAAAGACGTCAGACCAAAATAGTGAGCAGCTCTCTCATGTCAGCTTGAGAGATGAATCCAGAAAGGATCAATATTGTTGTCACATCCTAGACCCGTTTAGTGATTTTGTGCCTCTATACAAGCCTTGTTTTTGACTACTGATGTCTCGTCTTGTTCTGGGAATTAGCCTGTACCACCCACTCAGCACCAATAACAGAGATGCTCCCCGAGGAGAACACTCATTAGCACACAGTACTGTTGCATTTCATTTGGATAATTACAGTTTAAGTTCTGCTTGTACAATACAACTTTTGAGGCTTGGTAAGCTATTTTAAGCTACTTTAATAACGTAAATCTAAAGAAAAGTCCACCCAAAAATGAACTCACCCTCAGGTCATCCAAAATGTAGATGAGATTGTTTGTTCACTGGATCAGATGTGGAGAAATTTATTAATACATCACTTGCTCACCAATGGGTTCTCTGCAGTGAATGGGTGCCGTCAGAATGAGAGTCCAAACAGCTGAGAATAACATACAATAATCCACAAGTAATTCACATGACTCCAGTCCATCAATTGATGTCTTGTGAAATGAACAGCTGCATGTTTGTAAGAAACAAATCCATCAATAAGATGTTTTTTTGTTTTAAAGGGGTCCTATTATGCTTTTTCACTTTTTCAACGTTAGTCTGTAATGTTGCTGTTTGAGCATAAAAACTTAGAGTGGTTACAATCATCCCGGTTTAAATCACGCTCAAATTGATTTGATTTTGATGCAATATTTACACTGAAGCTCGTAGGCGTCTATGGTAAGGGGCATGACATTTCCCGACCAGGCACCGAGTGCTGCCAATCACAACACACACTGGCCCAGCTAACCAATCACAGCACATTTAGTATTTCAGAAGGCGGGCCTTCATTTGATACAGGAACTATTCGAGCCGTTCATGCCAGACTGGGGAGAGAGGTGTTGTAATAATGTAAAATATGTGAAAAATAATGTGTTTTTCGAACAACCTAGTATGAGAGCCTGTTCTAGTACACCCCCAAAACAAAATCAAGACTTTCTAAAAGAGCATAATAGGACCCCTTTAATCCGTAGCTTCTATCCATAATATTGTTTTCATCATGTCTTAATCAGGAAAACAGTTCTAAACAAATGTGTTGGTGGCATTTTGATGTGAGAAAACAACAAATGATGGACTTTTTCACTGTAGGAAACATTATTATGGATTGTAGACTGGTATTTTGGCCAGAAGCAATTATTTAAAGGTAAAATGCCTTAATGCTGGATTTTTTTCTTACAAACGTGCAGCTTTTCATTTCACAAGACATTAATTGATGGAGTCATGTGGATTGCTTGTGGATTATTGTGATGTTTTTATCAGTTGTTTGGGCTCTCATTCTGACGGCACCCATTCGCGGCAGAGGATCCATTGGTGAACAAGTGATGTGATGCTAAATTTCTCCAAATCTGTTCCAATTAAGAAACAAACTCATCTACATCTGGGATGGCCTGGGGGTGAGTACATTTTCAGCAAATTTTTATTTTGGGGTGAATTATTCCTTTAATGATTCTTGTCATGCTTAAACATCTTTCGTTTACTAGATAGGCTATATAGTACAAGACAGCATATTAGATTCTCTGCTTCCACAGTACATGTGTTGGCATTGCTTGTAGCTTGTCAAACTTGATTGAAACTGAAACTTATCTGGACTTGATTAGCATGGGAAAGGTTTCTCTGAAACCACACAAACAAAAGCATTAATCATTAAGCAGCCATGTCGCCTCCATCTCAGTCGTCATGATAATCAATTGATTATGACCCTTAGCCACTTCTTTTACCAGCCTAATTTCGAGAAGTACACCCTACATCCTTTAGAATGTGGCAAATTAATTACCCCGATGGAGTCTGGTGGCCCTGTCAAACTCTGTCTGGAATCACGCTTTGCTGCGGCAGCTGACAGCGCCGGCCCGCTCCGCCTTTGCAATTCTAATGAGTGGTCATTCATCAGCCTCTGACGGCTGGACAATCCACTTGATGTTTAAATCTGCTGATAATATCAAAAACATGCACTTGCCGTAATCCGCAAATTATTACTTAACTGTCGATCATATTAGTTTGAACGTTAAGAGTAAACAGGATTCATAGGACTGCTTTCCACAGTTTTCATTCATTTATAATAATCTTCCACAGATTCTTCAAGTAGTTAACGGTTCATTTTAGAGTAATTCCAGTGGTTTTCTTTTTAGGATATAGTGGTTTAATGCAATTGCTGCTCTTATTAATTGGTCTTGCTTGGAAGGTAATGATGACATATGTGTCAGCTTCTGAATTTATGCTTATAGGATATGAGACGTGTAAGCCATGACTTTTAGTTTCTTCATGGTCTGAGAGATTGATTAAGGAGTTTTGCTGCTGTTGTTAAATTGGGGATAATTGCTTTGTTTCGGATTAACGCTGCAGCTCGAGGAAGGGGAAAGTGGAGAATAATGTAACTACTGTAGAATAATGTGGTGGAATGTTTTATTTGGTATATTGGTATATTTTACCCAGCGTTTCATGTTAATTACACCATTTAGAAATATTTTATATGTGTGATGCAAAGAATGTGGTGCAAAGTTCTAAATAATATTTTAGCAACAAAACTCTTAGCATGGATGACAACAGACATTACTGCAGAGACTAATCTCTGCTAAAATCTTTATTTCAGGTAAGCTGCTTTTTGTGACAGACAGACTACAAAGTAGGTGGAGATACTCGCCATAGTTTGTGACAATGGATTTTTTTTTTTATGATGCTAAGACCTTCTCATCCACTTCATATAATTTTGATTCTAAATATCGACACTAGCAAAGTACCCAAAACCATATTTTAGACATGGTATTCATGGTATTCTTTGAAATAACGTTGAAAGTTTAGGGTCAGTAAGAATTTTTTAAAAGCAATTTATACTTTTATTCAGCAAGGATAAATTAAATTCATCAAAAGTTGCAGTATAAAGACGTTTATAATGTTACAAAAGATTTGTATTTTAAATACATTTCTGTTCATCAAAGAATCCTGAAAAAACTTTACCACAGTTTATACAAAAATATTACGCAGCACAACTGTTTTCAACAGTGATGTTAAAAAAATTTTCTTGAGCAGAAAATCAGCATATGGTTTGAAGGATTATTTGACCCTGAACACTGAAGACTGAAAATTCAGCTTTGCATCACAGGAATAAATTGCATTTTAAAATGTGTTCAAAATGAAAACAGGTATTTTAACTCGGTGGGCCTCTTCATTTTTGGGTCAAACTTGGTACCTTAGCGGTACCTGACTGAAGGTACCAAGTGTGACCCAAAAATGAAGAGGCCCACAGGGTTAAAATACCTGTTTTCATTTTGAACACATTTTAAAATGCAATTTATTCCTGTGATTCCTTTCAACCCTTTATCATATCCATGTCCATGATTGTTTTGTGTGTTCAAATAGCTAATACGACAAAAGTCACCAAGCGTCATCTTATTCCAATGATGCAAAAAATTGTAAAAATTCTAAACTTAATTTTTTCGGCCTGTTCTGACCAAAGAGGCCTAGAGGGTTAAACTGTAATAATACTGAACAATATTACTGTTTTTTTTACTGTATTTTTGATTACATAAATTAAGCCTTGGTCAACATAAAAGGCTTCTTTCAAAAATATGAAAAAATAAAATAAATGACTGACCTCAAACTTTTGAGCCATTATATATGAATATGTACACATCCAAAGCCAATTTCAACACATTCTAGGCATACATTTTATGACTTTTTGTGTTCCCAGGGAATCAAACCCATGACCTTGATGTAGCGCCAGTTGAGCTTCATTTCACTCAAAGAATTGCTGTTTCAATTGGATGGCTCTCCTTCACCAGGCTGCTCGAAGTTGGAATTGTAAGTATCCAAGTCAAACATTAAATAAATTTAAAGGCAAGTTAATTTGAGAGTGAGACAGGCCGGCACAAATCCGAAACAATGAGTCTGAAGGAAGCTGTGCAGATGCAGGGCCACCTAATCAGATTGCTTTCATTAAGTCTGTTGAAATGACAGAAGCTTTTACTTCACTTCTATTGGATTACCAGGAATGTAGCTCTCTTATGACAATCTGCATTATCGAAACAATCTCTCTCCTCCTATTTTACTCTCTTCTCCTCATCCTTTCCTCCCTCTCTCTCTCTCTTTCGCTCCTCATCTCCCTGGCTGACTCTTTATTCTCTCTCTCTTTCTCGCTCTCCGTCTCCCTGGCTGACTTTTCTCCTTCTCTCTCTCTCTCTCTCTCTCTCTCTCTCTCTCTCTCTCTCTCTCTCTCCTGTGAGCTCCATCTCTCTCTCGCTTTGCAGATGGGATGAGCCAGGGAGGAAGGCAGAGTGCTCTGTGAGAGAGGGCAGGAATTCCAACCGTGCGCAGACTATTCCAAGAGCAGCTTCCCTTGTGCACAGGAAATACATCGCCAGTGCTTTCTCAAGCTTTGCTTTGAAGGAACCCGCTGAGAGAGGTAAGTTAGGCGAGAGGAAGTTCATCTGTGTGTGTGCATGTGCGTTAATGTAGTTGTCACATGGTGTGTTGATGTTAGTCACAGTGCTCTCACATTAGTCTTACATTAGTGTTGAGTGCGCTTTAGAGTGGATATTACGTGCTATTCAATATCCTTCATACAGTATGTAATCTGTCAGGTTTTTGTTAAATTGTCTGGATTTAGATGATTAGCTTTGGTAGCATGTCAACTTTCATTGTTGGACTTCATGCAGATCCACTGTCAGTCTTGAGTCAAGACTGACTTTATGGAGCATTGTGATTGAGCTGGTGGGTGAAAGAACAAACTATTTTCTTGAATTTCACAGTCTTGGCTAGATTCTTCCCACCACTCTAGTTATACTAAGACATTTTCTAAAACTCTCACTTAAGGGCCAAGTTTTGCAAATGTTCCAGATTTATAAATATGATAATTAATAT